CTCAGTTAACTGCCAATGGTTCAATATCAAGATTTAAAGACTATCCTACTGGGTTCCACAGTGTTGAGTGTAGAGACAAGTATCAGGTATGCTCAGGGACCTCCAGTTCCTGGGGGTGTGTGGGAGGTCCCCAGTGTTGCACTCTACTATTCTCAGAGAGCTTGTGGTCCTGGGGATCTAACTGGAATTAGGTGCATGTTATAAATGTGCCCTAGGGACTGGAGCGATAGCACAGCAGGGAGGGTGTTTGCCTTGCATGCGGAGACCGAAGTTCGATTCCCAGCATCCCATAGGATCTCCCGAACACCGCCATGAGTACTTCCTGTGCATTCCCGGGTGTTACCCAAAAAGAAAAAAATATGAATGTGCCCTAACTTTTAGACTATCTCCCAACCCAGAATTGGAACATTTTTTGAAAAGAAGCAAAAGTTCCAATATATCTAGATACATATATTTGTCACAATAAAGTTCCAAATCATGGTAAAATATTTGAGACACCAAATTACTAATCATTTCCCACAGTCTTAGGGATTTTTCACCTTTTCTCTCAGACATCTTAACCTAACTCCTTCTGTATTACAATTCCCTTTTTCACATCTGTTTTAATGATGTTAACTTTTTGAACACCTCCTTGCATAAAGACACAGGCGTGTAGTAGGAAGGGAGATGCAGTGATTAGGCCCTGAGTCCCACAGCCTTGAGAATAAAGAGAATGATTGGTAGTGAAACTCTGCATGTGTTTGTTATATGTTATTCAGGACACTAAAACTTTGCATAAATCCATTAAAAATAATTCATATTCAAAATAGCAGTGTTTTGGTTTTATCTTCAGTCAGCAAGTAGTAGTGGCACCTGTGCCTTAAAGATATTAGATAAACTTTCCCAAGTTTGGCAGTCTGGGATGCACCAGGAATCTAAGCTTTAAACGCAGGCTGCATAATCCATTTTCATATTAAACAAACCATACATCTCCGTTTTCAAAGGAAGTATCAACATAGAGGAAAAGAAGTGGAGCTGGAGACCCTGTCCTTGCCTTGTTTGTTCTTCAGTGAAAAGGAGTTTGGGGGCCTTGCAGTATATGCCAAGAGTGGAATTTCTGGTTGTAAAGAAGTTCAATCCTTATTCTTGCAATAGTCCATGATGTTTTGCAGAGAGAATGAGTCAGTAGTCATTCCCATCCAGAACGGATGGCGCTCCTTTCCTCCACATCTACACTAGAACCAGTTGTTTCTTAATAGGAAAAAAATAATTTTTTGCTCTGACATAATATTACTGATACAGAGAGATATCTCTTTATTGTTTTGATTTGTGTTTCCATTGATAAGTTATAAAGAGATTTTTAATATGCATGGTATTAGATTATTTCACTGTATCACTGTCCTCCCATTGTTCATCAATTTGCTCTAGCGGGCCCAATAACGTCTCCATTGGAGACTTTTGTTGTTACTGTGTTTGGCATATCGAATACATCCCAGGTAGCTTGCCAGGCTCTGCCGTGCGGGCGAGATACTCTCAGTAGCTTGCCGGGCTTTCCGAGAAGGGCGGAGGAATCGAACTCGGGTCGGCCATGCTGGCTGCGTGCAAGGCAAACACACTACCGTTGTGCTATCGCTCCAGTCCATTATATTATTTACAGTGTTGCAAATCTTGATACCTCAATGACAATTGAAAAAAAATAGTGAAAAATTACAATCTCATTTGGAAGATTTCAATAATAAATTATAAAATTCCCTAATTCTGACTTAATTTCAAGTATGAGATATAAATGCATATTCTTACTTTAGACCATGAAGATTGAAAAAATATACTCTTACATATGTACAATCTGTGATTGATTGAATCATGATTGGCTTAATTTTCACACATATCATAAATTTGTATTATACTTCAGGTGTATAAGACAAGCATATATATGGTCTATATCAATAAATGATTGACTGTTTCCCTGGCTAGGTGTCACCAAATGTACGAACCTTCAATTTGGATGCTCTGATTTTTTAAATTAATATTTAGATATAATTTTATGTAAAATGTGCTTTTGTTTGAAAATTGACTTAACTTCAACATTTGAAAAAGAATACATTGAAAACAATCCCAACTGGACATATGATTTTTACCCAAAAGCCTAAACAAGAGAAAAGATATGCAGCAATGTTCCTGTGCAAATATGTTCCTGACACAATAAAGTATGGATTCCCAGAATTCTAATCCATTTATCCAATCTCCTATAAGCACATAAGACACATAAAAATATATACTTCACAACACAGAGTGGGGGCAACTAAATGCTAACACAGAATGAAAAATTCCAATAATAGCAACAGAGAAGCTGATACATTTCATTAGTCTCAGGAGAGGAGCTGTAGATAAAGACAGCAAATTCTCCTATTACCTTCTTTTTCCAAGCATGGTCTGGTGGCCCTGCTATTTGGAATTCACAAAATGTGAAATCTTAACAAAGTGCATGTTCTCTAGCTCTCTAGTCATGTTTATGGAATTAATGCAATTAAAGTGATTGGCTTTTGATGGGAACTGTAACACCACCACAACATATGTGCGTATGTGTGTGTGTGTGTGTGTGTGTGTGAGTGTGTGTGTATTTAGTGTTTTCTGGAAAAATGTATCACTGTCATGTATCACTGTGATCCCGTTGTTCATTGATTTGCTTGAGTGGGCACCAGTAACATCTCCATTCATCCCACCCTTTAGATTTTGGCAGCCTCTCCTTACTCGTCCTTCCCAACGCTGCCATACTGGAGACTCTTTCGGGGTCAGGGCAATGAGACCCGTTATTGTTACTGTTTTTGGCATATTGAATATGCCACAGGGAGCTTCCAAGGCAGGATACTCTTGGTAGATTTCTGGCCTCTCTGAGAGGGACAGAGAATGTATATAAGAGAATACAAGCAAGTATGTTAAAACCAAACACATGTGTGCTGTAACCTCAAGAAAACTCTATGATCAGAATGCATGGAAGCACTGCAACTAAAGTGTGTGATGCTTGCAAACATTACAACTGTGATGTGGCTATTTGTCATCTTAATAACAATAATGAAGGAAAAGGAAGTATAAAAATAATTAAACACAGTATAACATTTTCAACAGAACTCCTTCAAATATCCAGGTATGAGATTGGGGGCTCCTGAGCCTCATGAAATTCTGTCAAATATGACGTTTCTGGGATGGTTCTAACAGAAAAAATCAAGTCAGCATTAGAGTAAGGATCAACTGAAAAAAAGTCAGACAGAAATTCTTGTGGCTTATTTAAGGCTGATTAATACTTTATAGTATAGTGAAATCTATTATTTCATGGACCCTTGTTTTTCCTACTGTCTGTGAGCACATGATAAACAGCATTTAATCTTTGATTTTCTTGTAAACACTTTATTGCTGTAAGCATTCTCTGCAATTTGCTTGTCAAAGCTATTGTTTCATTTGTGATCAGAAAGAGATAACCAATGAATTGTGATAGGATATTCTAATAATGTTAGCAAAAGGTACAAATCTCTTCCAGGACCTTTCTTCAGCATCAGCATCACCACAGCATCAGCACCATACTAGAAAGAGCTTATTCCAGGCTTATTCCAGACCCCAAAAGGGTTTTAGAATAGGCATTTGAAAATGTACATTTTGAGTACATTTGAGTAATTTTCTTTTATTACACTTGTCATTTATATTCTGGCATTTCTTTCTAAGAATTAGTGGGCATCAATGTTTAACTGCATAAAATTAGTATTTTTAATTTAGTTTTCTCATTTTAGAAACATCTTTTATGGTTTCTAGACTCCATATATTTGTCATTTGTAAAAATGCACATCTGTGCTTTTGTCCAAAATTCATTATGATAACAAGATACTTTACTTGTCTCCTATTCAAAAAGTCTCCTTGGGTTCATTCCTCATCTGAAATATATATTTGCATATATTAATGCCCAGATGGCTCTAAGCATCTTAATCAAAAGGGGAGATTTGCCTTGGCATTAATATGTGTGAAAAATTTGTCTTATTTTAATTAACTCGAGATGTGTCATCAGTAAGATATGAAAGACTAAAGATGTTAATTCAACCCCGTGGAGTATTATGAAAAAAAAAAACTGTGTTTTTCTGACTGGAAAGTATCTTGATGGTTTTATCTCTTTTACTAGTTTTAATATCTCCTAGAAAAAATTTTCTCACTATCAAGATTAATAATTATTGTTGATGAGTAACATGTACCAGCTTTAGCTTTCAAAAAGACAAAAGGGGGAACAAAATTAAACCAAAATTCTATCCCAAACTAAGCACAGCCAAGCTGAGGTGACTACCAGCCTTCTCTTTCCTTTTCTACTTAGAGTATAAATAGCATTTTTAATATAGTAATTATTTCAATTTTTATTTAAAAATTTTATTATACATTTTTAATTCATGAATGACTTTCCATGAACTTTGTACCACACATATGCAAATATTTGCATAATCTATATGCTTAGTTGGTACTGAGTTCATTTATTTATTTTGTATAATCAATAATTTATATTGCTTTTGGATAATATATTAATTAATGTTTGGGGGAATTCCTTGTTATGAAGAATATCTGAACAATAGAATTTTTTTTATTGGTGAAACACCATGAGGTACAGTTGTAGATTTACAAACTTTAATGCTTGGGTTTCAGTTATACAACGATCCCTCCACCAGTGCCCATTCCCCACCACCAGTGATCCCAGTAGCCCTCCCACCCCCACGCCCTATTCCCCTCACCCCACCTCGCCTCTGTGGCAGGGCATTCCCTTTTGCTCACTCTTTCTTTAAGGGTCTTGTAGTTTGCAATATAGTTCATATAGTTTGCAATATGAACAATAGTATTTTGAGCCACATCCTTCATAATAAATCTCAATTCTCTTTACTTTATGAATAAAATCTTCAGTAGGTACAATATTCATGGTGAATGAACTTTTCTCATCTTAATTTATCCTACAGTCACTGGCTTTTGAGGTTACAAAGTTATAAAAAGGGACACTCAAGACTACTTTCTGGGATTATTTCTATAGTCCTTTGCTAGAGAAGTTTATCTGATTGTGTAGAGCATCAGAACACCCCACCCCCCACACTCCGAAGAGCTGGAGTACACTCTCCTGAGCAGAAAGCTGGTTCTAGATGTTACTTATGCAACTGCCTTGACTGATTGATGATTGTTCTTCTCTTCCCTTTGAAGGGGGAGAGGCAGAGAATATAGGCTGAGTGGTTTTGGTGGGGAAAAAAAGAAGATGACGAAAAGAAAACAAAACAAAACAAAAAGAGACACCAGTTGCACCAATAAGTAGCCACAATACCGTCAGACATGTGTTCAAAATCCCTTTAGACATAGGAAAACAATCAGCACAGGGAACATTTAGGCAGGTAGCCCCTGCCTTTTCATTATGTATTCCTTATGTTACAGGAATGCATAATTATCCCAAATGTGTATGGGTTTATGTCAATGGGATGTGAGAACATCATTCTCTGGTTTCTCTACTGTCCAGAGAGATTACAAAGAAGGAACTGCAAAGCCTCTAGATTGGAACTGCAGAAGAGACAGACAAGGGACGTTCCAGGAAAACAAAGATTCAGAAAACTGTGGTCGTTAAATAAAAGAAAATCCTTATGGCAATACATACCTTGCCTCAGCTTTCTACACCTGAAAAACTACCCTAATCTCACATACCTTCAGCAGACATCAAAAAATAATTTTTTTACCTCTCACTGACATAAATACATTATATTAGTTATTTTTATCTGGAGGTGAGCAGAGTTACCGCTCTACCTGACAATAATGAGACAGTGTGTTGATTGAGAGGGGGTAATTGTCAGATAAACTTCACAGCAAAGAAATAAACTAGCATTTATTGATAAATAGTGGTAAGTATAATGATAAGTAAATAAATATTACAGAAATGCATAATTATCCCAAGTGTACATGGGTCAATGGTCAGAGTCTCAAAATGCATGCAGCAAAAACAGATACAGCTACAAGGAACAATAAACAAATTCTCCATTATAGTCAGGGACGTCAGCATTCCCCTTTCAAAGACATTCAACAAATATTCCAACTTTCAACAAATTATAGAATTGCTAGATAAAACCACCAAGGAGATAGACAAATTGAAACACCTTGAAACACAATCATAAAACCTAATTTTCATATACGAAACACATCCATCACAGAGAAAATAACATACAACATCTTTAATCATGCATAGAAACTTCCTCAACAAAGACTATATCTGAATTACAAAACAATTTCTCAGTCAGTTAAAAAAATGAATTATGCAGGGCATGTTATCTAGCTACCATGGAAAAAACTTGAACAAAAAGAGAAGTTTTAAGTAGCTAGAATGTTATAGAGCAGAGTCTAACTACCCTTTAGTTAAAGATAAATAACATACAAAATATCAATGCATAACAAAACAAAATTGTAAGTCGTTATATAACAAAAATATATTTAAATATGAATTACAATATATAACAAATTTATAACAAAATGTTAATAGTATACACTGTTTCAAACTATAAGCATTAATTTGATAGTAATTTATTTTTGCTATATATAGCTTTTAACATGTTAATTTTTGGAATTTAAAAATTTATCTGATTTACCTGTTATTTTTATTTCCATAGCTTAAAGTTCAGTATGGCTATCGAAAAGATTTGAGTAGAAGTCATGGATAATCTTCTCCATTACCATTCTGGAGGATGTGATGGATCCATCAGGACATCGGAGGGCAGTCATCTTGGTCCTGTAGTTGGCAAAGGACAGGCGGGCGTTACGAATACTTTCCCAGCTTCTGCTACATCTACCAGCACTTCTGCTCTTCTATCTTTGAGGTCTTCCTTGATCGCATCTCTGCTCTGCTTTGCGAGCTCGGAGGTAAGCTTGCGGTTGCCTGAGGCATGCGCCAAACCACATTGGTGAATAAGTTCAAGAGTTTTCGAAGACAGGCGTTTTTTTGTGGCTATTTCTCTCTTGGCATTCCTCACACATTCATGGAGGTGCTGTACCAGTCGATCGTATTCCTCGTCAATGTTGTCAACAATGGCATCTTCCCATGTTGCTGCAATAGTGCCAAAGAGCTCCCAGTTGGTAGTCGTTCTGGGAGTTCTCTTTTTAAACTTTGCAGCCCTTTCTCCCCGCTCTGTGAAGTAGAATTTTGCACGAAGGAGACTGTGGTACGAACCCGTTCGGAATTTTGGGACAACAGTGACATTGGTCAGGCAAAACCGTTGATTGAATATGATGTGGTCTATTTCATTGTGGAATCGTCCACCAGGAGAGTCCCATGTCCAACATTTAGATTCTGCCTTCTGGAACTGTGAGTTACCATGGATGGTCTTGGTCGACATGATGAACTCAGACAGTCTCTCACCCTGTTCATTCCATTCTGGGCCATGGGTCCCGATGTGAAGTTCTTCAGCTGATCTTCTTGGTCCTATCTTGGCAGTAAAATCACCCACAATGATCTTGTAGAAGGTGTGGTCTTCTTTATAGAACTTCTCCAGCTCCATGTGGAACTTCTCAATTTCTCTTTCATCATAATGAGATGTGGGTGCGTAGACAATGAAGACAGAAACTGCAGGCAGTGAGCCACATCTATTCAAATGTAAACGTCAGATTCGGGTTGTTGGGCATTCGAATGAATCAATGCTCATGGCCAAATGTGTGTTGACACCGACACCTTCGACACTTCTTTTATCGCATGTTCCGAGGAAAAATTCTTCTCCAGTGTCGAAAACGGCATGGTGAGATTCGTGCCTTCTTGTCTCAGTCAGACCAATGATGTCGTACTTGATCATTCGTGCTTGTACCATCAGGTCCTCGATGGATGCATCTGCTGCTAGCGTACGTGCATTGAAAGTACAGACGATCATTTTTGTCTTCCTTCGTTGTGGCAGCCTAGGTTGGCCTTGAGATTTTGTCGGCCTCTCCTTTCTCATCCTTCTCAGTGCTGCCATGTCGGTGAAGCCTTCAGGGTCAGGTGAATGAGACCAGTTGTAGTTACTGGTTTTGGCATATCGAATACACAGCGGATAGCTTGCCAGGCTCTTCCATGTGGGCGGAATACTCTCGGTAGCTTGCCAGTCTTTCCGAGAGGGATAGAGGCTTTTGGGGCGACCTCTAATCGCCCTCGTAGGTGTTACCATATTTGAACCCTATCAAATATGGTACGACAATTCCAGAAGATGGGTATTTAGTGTCTTATGATGTGTCGTGCGGCCACAAAGTGGGCACACGGATCCGGAAAGCGTCCTGGAGTGTGGCGGCGGCTGGGTAGTGGAGGTAGTGTCCACTTGACGACATACCAATTTCCACAGGATGGATATGCCATTCCCAATGCTCTCCCTTCCGAAATCCAACACACCATTTTGTCAGTAAAGAAACGAACAGCACTCGGCCCAGACAAGGTCAGACCTGAACACCTGAAGAACCTACTGTCAGTACTCATCAATACACTGGCTCGGCTCTTCACTCGCTACCTGTCTCAATGCAAGGTTCCGCCCCAATGGAAAACCAGCAGGACCGTACTACTGTTCAAGAAGGGAGACATCCATGACATTGGCAACTATCGCCCGATCTGCCTATTGTCTGTCATCTACAAGTTGTTCACTCGTCTACAAGTTGTTCACTCGAGTCATCCTAAATAGGATTGGCAGAATACTAGATGAAGGACAACCATGAGAGCAAGCCGGGTTCCGCAAAGGATTCAGCACCATCGACCATATCCACACAATAACCAAGCTCATTGAGGTTTCTTGGGAGTTCAAGATGCTGCTCTGTTTAACGTTCATTGATTTAAAGAAGGCCTTTGATTCTGTTGAGACGGAAGCCGTCATTGAAGCCCTAGCCAATCAGGGCATTCAAGCCCAATACATCAGGATCCTCCGTGAGCTGTACTGTGGATTCACTACCAGGATCTCACCATTCTACAAAGAAGTAATCATTGATGTCAAGAGAGGGGTTCGGCAGGGTGATACCATTTCACTGAAACTCTTCAGTGCCACCCTTGAGAACATCATGCGACGACTGGAATGGGAAGGAATGGGAGTGAAGATAGATGGTCGGCACTACACCACCTCCGCTTTGCTGATGACATTGTTTTAATAACACCAAATATCACCCAAGCGGCACAAATGCTGGTCGACTTTGACCGTGAGTGTGGAAAGGTAGGACTACAGCTGCATCTTATGAAGACAATGTTTATGAGAAACAGCCTCGTTCCTGATGCCCCATTCGCTCTCAACGGAACGACCATCTCTGAATGCAACAGCTATGTGTTCCTAGGTCCAGAAGTCAACATGACAAACGACCTGGCACCTGAGCTGCGCAGGAGGAAGAGAGTGGCTTGCAACGCCTTCAAGAACGTCGAAGAAATAACTAAGAGGACAAAGAACCTCTGGCTCTGGGTACATCTCTTTGATTCCACTGTTCTTCCTGCATTAACATATGCCTCAGAGACCTGGGCCTTATGCAAACAGGATGAGAATGCTATTGAGGTCTCCCAAAGAAGAATTGAAAGACCTATGGTTGGAATATCACGTTTCACTCAAATGAGAGAAAGAATCCGGAGTTCCCACATCCATCGATGATCAAGAATCAGGGATGCTGTCTCGTTTGCCAAGGTGTCAAAAATCTGATGGGCTGGTCACATAATGAGATTTAAAGACGACCACTGGACTAGAGCTGTTACTGACTGGATTCCATGGGATGTCAAAAGACCGCGTGGCCGCCCACCTACCAGATGGTCAGACTTCTTCGTTAAGATCATGAACGATCGGTTTGAGGCTCTTCATGTTCCCAGAGTGAACAGATGCCATTGGGCCACACTAGCACACAACAGGGACAAATGGAGACGTTACTGGCACCCGCTCGAGCAAATCGACTACTAAGGGCAAGTTATGTGATTAAGTGAAAGTTCAGTAATTTTATGTGAATTATTTTTTAATTAATTATTCTCCCAGAGTTATTTTTTAATTTTATATTGTAAGTTTTCTTCTGATATTATTTCTTTTTACTTTGATTACTATCATTTGTTTTCTTTATTTAGTCAGTTTTATTATATTCCAATTTTCTCTGCAATACTCCTTATACTGTTTGGTCGGTTTTGAAAACATTATATGTGCATCCTTTTATGTGTGTACAATGCTTTCCTGTCTGAGATATGGAACACTTGCCTAAACTGAGTTTGATGCTGATTTTTATTTCCTTTTATTA